TGGCAGCATCTGTGAAGGAGAAAACAGAGTTAACGTTTCGGGTCCCGTGACCCTTCCTCAGAACCGGTTCAGTTCCTCAGAACAATTAAAATGATGTTAAAAATGTTCTGTGTTGCACAAATTGTGTAGTGGCCCCGACTATAAGGTTATCGCAATGTCATTAACTAAAAGTAATGACCTGCTGTTCACTAAAAATGCCTGGGATCCAAATGTACTTATTCAATTAAATTTGGATTAATAATATATTTTGTTAATTTATAAAAACAAATGTATTTAAATACCTTTGGATTAATAATTAATTTAGTCAAAATTTGGATTGATAACAAATTGATTCAAATAAATTTGTGTTAATAAATATATTCAGAGTTGAATTAATAATTTATTCAAATACTTTTGGGTTGTAACAAATATATTCAACTAAAGTTGGATTAATAACAAATAAATTTGGATTAATACATTAATTCAAATAAATAAATTCAAATAAATTTGAATTAATAATAAATACATCCAAAAACATTTTGATTAATAATATAGTTTTTTCAAACATAGTTGGGTTAATAACATTCTTCAAATATATTTGGATCGTGCGTTGAAAAATACATACCTAAAATGTACTTGTAAAAATAAAATGGCACCAGTGCCATTACATCTTATCGAAGCGAAGATAACAAGGTGTAGAGCTGGATGAACGCAACAGGCCAAGCAGCATCAAAGGAGCAGGAAAGCTGACGTTTCGGGTCGGGACCCTTCTTCAGAACCTAAGCGAAACTGTTTTACGATTTGAGGTGGGGAATGATATTTCACGGTTGTAGTTATATCTTTAACACACTCTTCGTGACTCCAACACTAGTCCCGACAGTGACAGGATGAATGGTCACCTGGTGGAGCTGGGCCCAGAGAAATGTTTTTAATGTAATCTCAGCTGCTTGGGATGTTATCTTAAGGAGTACAGGACATTAACAATAGGGTTGCTCGCCTCCTGTATTTGACCAGACACTTCTGACTGTAAAATCTTAATTTCCAAAATGCATTTGGCCAGATTTGCTTCATATTATCTAACAGCCGCTCTGACAGGGCTGACTGTGCGATGGTTTTTTTCTCTTTCACTACGGCCACACATCTACCCTCCGCGCAACTACACACACCCAAGGAGCTAATGTTAGAAATTGCCCATCGAAGGGCTGGAGGCCTTTATTTGATGGTATACATTTGGTCGGTTGTAAATGCTTCTCTACATGTTGCTGCAGCGCCTTTTTTAGTGAGCCCCTGGCTCCTGGGCGCTACTTTGTAAGGGCAGAGTAGTTGGAGAGGCGGAGATGTTTAAATCTGCCTCTCTCCTATCCCCGCCCCCACCCCAATTGTAGCCTTGCAAACTGGCGGATCCATTGACTTGAATCTCAAGTGCTGGCAACATCAGCGCTAAATGGACAAATCGACAAGATACAATTCCCCGGGTGTTTATTTTGGTCTGTTTATTAATTACACATTCCACCGTCCCTTCTCCCAGAAAGTTAAAGGGTGCATTTTGTAATTCCTATTATTCCCAGCTTTGAGATGTGTTAGTGTTTATCTAGGGCGCCTGTTTAACACTGCCGGCTTCAGGATAGTCAGGCCAATTGGAGAGGAGGGTGAGAGAGAGAAACAGAAATGTGGGGGTGTCAGAGAGATTGGCAGTCAGGGGAGTGAGGGGGGGGGGGGGACATGGGGAGAGAGGGGAAGAGAGACGAGGGAAAGAGTGAGAAAAACAGGAAAGACTCAGAGTGAGGGGGAGGGTGAGGGGAGAGAAACAGTTGGGGAAACACAGAGAGAGAATGGGCAGAGAGAGTGAGAGGGGAGAGAGAGTGGGAGTCAGGGGAGAGAAAGAGATGAACGGGGGAAAGGGGAGAGAGGAGGGAGACAGGGGAGGGGGAAGAGAGAGATGTGGAGTGGGAGAGGAGGAATGGGAAAAGGGATAAACGGAGCGGGGGGGAGATGGGGAGAGGGAGAGAGTGGAAGACCTGGATAGGGATAAAGAGAGGGGGAGAAGGAGGGGTGGGAGATGGGGAATGGGAGAGAGAGGTGGGTAGACGGGGAGAGAGAGATGAGATGGGGAGGTGGGATAGAGAGAGCGCCAGGGACAAATTAAATAATTTCTTGTTCACTCTAAGGGTAAGTTTTGACAAAAAAGAAACAAGCAGCCGATAACTTTTCTGGATCGTGTTTTACGAAAAGACCAATTTCCAGTTGCTGACAGCTCTTTCCCAGCCTGGTTCATTTATTCCGTTTTAACGTCAATCCACCGTAGCACTCTGTTCTGTGGTTTACCGGAAAGTTTTGAATTACCGTCGACCTGGAGGCGGCTAGAGGATAAATTCCATTTGTAACCCCCCCCCCCCCCACCCCTGCAACACACACAAAAACCCGGATCAGACAGGAAATTAACAGTCTGTCACTTAGGGCACTGATTAGCCACTGTAATGTGCAAAATGCGTTCGATTTCGAGACGTCTCGCACATGGGGGAGGCGCAATTTCCCTCTGGGCTGATTGCGGAGGTATTTATCTGCAAATAGACACCTTTCTTTCTAAAGAGAGAGAGAGCCGGCGTGTTGCACACTTTCGAAGCCAAGACTGGGTCACCTTCCCAGAATTGAGGGTAACATTAAGAAACGGTGGGTGACTTTCTCTGGTGAGTACCGAGCAATCTGGCCGGGTAGGAAAGGAGATGGTGGTAATTGACATTTTATCTGAAAGCTGAAGACAGAGTCCAGGTTGTATTCTGTACCCTTCATGGGAGAGGAATGAAAACAACATTTCAGCAAAACAAAATCAATCAACTTGTGGCCTTACTATTAATTTGTTGAGTAAACAAAGCGGTGTGGGGTGTTGGATTTATCCCTCTGGCCTCTAGTTCTGGAGCTAACTTCAGTGTTGAAATGAAAACTAAAAAAAATGCTAGAAATCCCAGCGTGAACTCCAACATTGTTTTGCTTTCGGTGCAGATTCCAGCATCTGCACTAATTTGCTCCTTCAGTGTAGAAACGACAGGCTGGTCTCTCTCTCTCTCTCATACACACGAGCCTGAGTCTTAGCGTGTAGTGTTAAGGGAGTACCCCCCTGCCAGAGGTACCTGTTTTCTAGACGAGAGGTACAAACCAGGGCAAATGACTATCACGGATCCACCTCCAGTATTACCATAAACAGCAGTGGGGCTCGGAGCTACAGTAATCTGTCAATTAACATCTGTCTCTTTCTCACACACGCGAATATGTCCTGCTGATTGAACCAGATTTTGTGGGATCTCATGGTTGTCCAACATTGCAACAAACTGACTGCCTTTCCACATTGCTCTCGACAGTATTCCCTGTCGTCGTGTAATCACAAATGTTCCTTTTCTCACCAGCGTTTCTCTCCTGTCCTTCAAGTTGGGGAAACAAAATGCGCTAGCTGCAATGGTATTAAAAATAATCAGTGTGCCCCAAACCCTCTCAGGGCGCGTTACACTGGACTATGCATTCCCTCCTCTCCCAGAGTCTGATAGATCACTTGTCTGCCCAGTCCTGCATCGTTAAACCCCGAACTGGGACCAGACAAGAGTCTGCTCACTTCCAGAAAGACCCCAAAACGCAGAAATGAAACGTTTTATGTTTGATGATATTAGCGAGATTCAGCGGGAGTAACTGAAACTTAAAGGTACATCTATTTAAAGTCAGATCTCTAGCATCCACACTATGTCGTGTTTGTGTTTTTGTCTTGTTTAAATCATCGGTTTCCAATAGAGAGATTGATGCTGCAGGACTTGTTTACAAAACAGAAGAAGAAAATAAAATAAAGAACTGCGGATGCTGGAAATCTGAAACAAAATAAGCCCAGAAATTGCTGGAAAAACTCAGCAGGTCTGGCTGTAGAGTTAATGTTAGACCAGGAGTAGCATATTTGAATTATATTGTTACAGTATATTTGTAAACAACTATACAACCATTTTAGTCTATATTGGTTTATTGTGATACTATCAAGTATATTATTATTATTATAATATGTGTGCCAGATACAAACTGACAAATCTGAATTGTAAAATAATAGATTCCACGATGTTCCCAGTTCCAAGTGTTAATCCAGTCCAGTAGACTGCAAATTGTGGGAGATTGGGTTGGGGGAAGTTTCCTATCTGCCTGCATAGTGTTCACAAGTTCCCAATAACGAATCAACAAACGATAACAGAGAAGGGGCGATAAAAGAAACGCTTTTGGAATTGTAGTGACCAACGTGTTTATAGTTACCTCAAACGCTGACTCATCAGTCTGGGATTGACTCAGGGACAGGAGCGGGGAATAGTTTTGGTCTGGGATTCTTTGATTTAATTACTAAATGCAAACAAGGCCAATAGGGTTCCAAACCTTTCCAAAAAGAGGGAAAAAAAGATAGATTGCTTTCTTTTAATCTAGGGTCTACAGCCATGAAGGGCTTATGTCCAGGTGCTAAACTGAAAGAAAATACAAAGTTGAATTAGAATTCCCTTCCTCAAAAGGCAAGAAATGCAGAATATTTAAACATTTTTTTTAGGCGGAGGGATATTGTTTTTTGACGATCAAGGGGATGAAACGTTAATGGAGGCAAGCAGCAATATGGGATTGAGGTTAAAATCAGGTCAGCCATGATTTTATCGAATGGAGTAGGTTGGAAGGGCTGAATGGCCTGTTCTTAATAATAACACAAGGAACCACTGAGGCTGGAGATCTGAAACAAAGACAGAAATGCTGGAGAATCTCAACATTTCTGAGGAAGGGTGAAAATGTTAATTCTGTTTCTCTATCTACAGATGCTGCCAGACTTGCTGAGTTTCTCCAGCAATTTCTGCTTTTTAGCCTCCTTCTGTTCCTTTGTTGACAACTTGATCCATCAGGGTCATTCTCATATCTCCTTGTGCCTCTTTGCAGCCACTGCCCAGCTGGAGTGGGATAAATCGGAAGGATTCAGGTACCAAGAGAAACCCAAAGGGTTTATCCTGGGTTAATTCACCAGCATGATGTCCTATATGAAGCAACCACACTACGCAGTTAATGGATTGACACTCACTGGCCCTGGTATGGATCTCTTACACTCTGCAGTTGGCTATCAAAGTAAGATCATCTTTCCTGCTTTCTTTTATCTCTTCAGATTTCAGGCAGAAAATAACTAAGTTTGTTAAATTGTAAATGTTTCTCAAATGCAAAAAGGAAGGGGATTTAAAACCAACACAATTAAATTGAACTGTAATTTATTCCCAAGAAGGTGTTGGGTGAAGTTTTTTATTCATTAACGGGACATAGGCATCACTGGCATGTGCCCATTTAGTGCCCAGAGGGTAGTTAAGAGTCAACCACATTGCTTGTGGGTCTGGAGTCACATGGAGGCTAGACCAGGTAAGGATGGCAGTTTCCTTCCCTAAAGGACATTAGTAAACCAGATGGATTTTTCCAACAATCAGTTCATGGTTATCATTAAACTCTTAATTCCAGATTCTTACAGAATTCAAATTCCACCATCTGCTGTGGCAAGATTTGAACCAGGACCCCCAGAACATTACCTGGATCTCTGGATTAACAGTCCACAGCAATAATACCACTAGGCCATTACCTCCCTAGCATATTCAACAAGGACAGAAATTGCTTGAAAAACTCAACATGTCTGGCAACTTCAGTGGAGAGAGAAACAGAGTTAATGTCTTCCAGTCTGAAGATGTGCTGTAGGAGAGTCACATTAGATTTCAACCATTAACTCTGTTTCTCTCTCCACAGATGCTGCCAGACCTGCTGAGTTTTTCCATCAATTTCCAATTTTTTTGAGACTTGCCTCAGTGTCTAGCCTAATATATATTCCTTAGCCAATATCACAAAAGAAGACAATTTATTTGGTTCCTATTACATTGGAGTTTGTGGGAACTTGACTGGGTCACATCCATTTCCTACACTTCATATTCTCATTCTCCAGCATTCTCTGTATTTGTTTTAGATTTGCAAAATCTGCAACATTTTGCTTTTATTGGGGTGAACGTTCACTCTGAATATATTTGTAAGAGGGTGTGGGGAGGATAGAGGTATGGAGTTAATGGATTCTACTTTCAAAGACCTAGCCTAGATAAATTGGGTTGAATGGCCTCTGGTGAATGATCTTTCTGTAAACCAACTGTGAATTTGCAATAAAAGGTAAAATTACCATCATCTTACCAGACCACAGGGCTACTGTCTCATTAGAGTGAGACAGATGATGGTGGGTTTAACCTGAGGGTGCCCAGACCTCAGGCAAAGGGAGATTTTAAGAAGAAGGGTCTCCCATGCTATCTTCAGCCGGTGCAAGAAGTGAACTCACGTTGTCAATATCACTCTTATATCAGCTAACCAGTCTCCCTTCCTTGCAATGCAATGTTACTGGGACTTTATCTATCGTTGGGTCTCTCTCTACTGTGCTATTGGGGGCATTTTGTAGAATCACACACACAGCACAGTGTGAGGCCACTTGACTCATTGTGCTTTTTCCAGCAGTTTGAAAGAGATATCGGATTAATCCTAATATCCCTGCTTTCTGCTACTGATCCCCATCACCCTCTGAATATCTCCTTTCTGCGAATCTGTCAGATTTCCCTTTGAAATTTACCTTTGAATCCACTTACAGGGGAACTTTGAGTCCCTTAAATCTGTTCCACCCCTATTCAGTGGGGTGATGGAAGACCCGTGATCTAACTGTGGGCAGCACAGTGACTCAGTGTTTAGCAGGTTTGATTCCAGCCTCAGGTGACTGCCTGTGTATAGAGTTTGCACATTCTTCCTGTGTCTGATTGGGTTTCCTCCCACAGCCCCATGCTAGGTGCATTGGCCGTGGTAAATGCAGAGTTATAGCAGTAGGGGGCTGGCTCTTCAGAGAATCAGTGTGGGCTGAATGGCCTGCTTCTACATTGTAGGAATTCTAGGATTCTAATTCCATGTATGAATGTTTCCCCAATATTCCCCAAGACTTCAGTTCTCAAAAATCTATTGATTGCAGTTCTCACATTTACAACCACCAGGAATCATTCCTCTCTCTTGGCCTCTATCTGTTAGCGTCTTGAAAACTTCAATCTGGTTAACCTTAAACTAAATTCCAGGGGATACAACCCCAGTTTGTATAATCTCCTTGTAGCTAAACCCTTGAAGTCCTGGCGTTAATTCTTCACTGCACTCACTTTGACACCAATCCATCCTTCCTGGGATGTGGGCCCCAGAACCATAAGGCTGTAAGACCCAGGAGCAAAAGTAAACCTGCCCATTTAGTCTGCCCCATCATTCAATGTGATCCTATCTCAGAACTGCTCACAATGACTGCAGGTGAGGTTTAACCAGGGCTTCGTTCACCTCTAGCATGATGTCTACTCCCTTGTATTCCAGTTCTCTAGCTATAAAGGCCAGTGTTCCTTCAGCCTTTGCTGTTATTTTCTGTAACTGTGCCTGACATTTTAATGATCTCTATGCCCAGACCCTCCCCAGTCTCCTTGGACCCTTGGCAGTTTCTGGATTTTCATAATTTACAAAGCATCCAATTCAGGTCCATATTGAATGCCCTCGCATTTGACAACTTTGATATGCATTTGTCACAGTTTTACCCATTCACTTCACCTATAGCTGACAGATGGGGAAGTGGTGGTGTCACTGGGACTGGCAGGCTAGGTTACTGTCTGAGGTAATGGATTCAAGTCCCATTATAGCAGATTGTGAAACTTGAATTCAATCCAAATGTGGATTTCAAAGATAACCTCTTGCTACCACCGTCATTTGTTGCAAAAAAGCTAATTTGGCTCACTAATGCCCTTTAGGGAAGGAAATCTTCTGGCCTTGCTCAGTCTGGTCTACCTGTGACTCCAGACCCACAGAATTGCAGTCGACTCTTCAGCAGATTTGAGATGACTAAGAAATACTGGCCTGCCCACATTCCATGAATTAAAATGAAAGCTCCACCTATCATTGTGTCATTGCCAAATTTGGGTGCATAATGTTTATTTCATTTGTCTAAGTTATTAATGAACATAAACGGATACAATCTGTTCTTGAAGGTACTTGAATAGACACTCTCCTATCAATTCAAGTACTTCTCCTTTATCCTGTCTCCTGCCCCTCAGCCAGTTTTCTGAACCAGGTCAATCATTTGCCTTCACTTCATGGGCTTCCTCTTTAACAAATAAGGGTTTCTTTCTTTATGGAGAGAAAATGGGAGTGGAATATTGAAATTGCATAATCAGCCATGGTCATATTGAATGGTGGCACAGGCTCAAGGGGCCAAGTGGCCTACTCCTGAGCCTATTTTCTATGCTCCTATGTTTATCAAAATAGGTTCTGGAAGTCTATAAAACCAATAGGAGAAAGAACCTTGACAATTTGCAACGCTTTGATGTCTTTCTTCCCAAGGGTTGGATCTGATTGGCTGTTGCTCATGGGACTTGGCTCAAAGAAAATTCCCCAGGGTGCACGAAGGAATTGAGTGGATGAATACCGCAAATCATTTTTAAAAGGCTGACAAAACATGTACCTTTATTTCAAGAACTTTTAGCTCCCTTGGCCATCTATGACTTTGGGAGAGGTTGAAATTCTGCTCCAGTTGTTCTGGTTAGATGCCAGCACAAGAACAATATTCAGTTGAGGGGTAGTCCATCAGGAGTGCCCCGCAGATTGGCCACAATGATACTGAGGCTAAAAGGGTTCAATTATGAGGACAAGTTTCACGGACAAGCTTTGTGTTAAAGATTAAGGGAAGATCTAATTGCTGTGATTAAGATGATTAAAAGATTTGAAAGGGTGGATGGAAAGAAACTACATATTCTGTGGGGGAATTGTGGTATTGCTTTTATACTTTAATGGGATGTGGGTTTCACTGAGTAAGGCCAGCATTTGCTGCCTAATCCCTAATTGCCCGTTGAACTGAATGTCTTGTTTGGCCATTTCAGAGGGCAGCTAAGAGTCAACAACAACAATGGAAGTTGCCGAGAAAGCTCAGCAGATCTGGCAGCATCTGTGAAGAGAAATCAGAGTTAACGTTTCAGGTCCAGTGACCTGAGGAAGGTTCTAAGGAAGGCCGAAAAGTTAACTCTGATTTCTCTTCACAGATGCTGCCAGACCTGCTAAGGTTTTCAAGCAATTTCTGTTTTCGTTTCTGATTTACAGCATCTGCAGTTCCTTCCGTTTTTATTAAGAGTCAAAGCCATTGCTGTGAGTCTGGAGTTATATGTAGGCCAGACCAAGAAAGGATGGCAGATTCACTTCCCTAAAGGGCATTAGTGAACTAGATGGGTTGAAGCAGCTATTAGCAAGAGTTTCACAGATTCAATACTGAGGTTAGCTTTCAATTCCAGACTTTATTTATTAAATTTGAAATTTTGTCAGTTGTTGTAGTGGGATTTGAATGCATTTACCCAGGGCACCATCCCCTTGCAAATTGCCCTCACTATCCCGACTTGGAAATATATCACCATTCCTTCACTGTTGGTGGGTCAAAATCCTGGAACTCGCTTCCTAACAGCATTGTCGGTATCCCTACATCACACGGACTGTAATAGTTCAAGAATTCAGCTCATCGCCACCTTCTCAAGGGGAAATTAGGACAGGCAATAAATGCTAGCAAAGCCATAGAGCCACAGAGATGTACAGCATGGAAACAGACCCTTCGGTCCAACTTGTCCATGCTGACCAGATGTGCTAAATTAATCTAGCCCTATTTGCCAGCATTTGGCCCATATCCCTCTAAACCCTTCCTATTTATATGGCCATCCAGATGCCTTTTAAATGTTGTAATTATAACAGCCTCCACCCCCTCTGGCAGCTCATTCCATACACGCAGCACCCTCTGTATGAAAATGTTACCCCTTAGGTCCCTTTTTAAACCTTTCCCCTCTCAGCGATGCCCACATACCATGAATGAATAACGAAAAGATAGCCTGGGTCTGTAACCCAGTGTCATTACCATTACACATTGTCTCTCCAAAAGGGATGGGATAAACAGAGGTCATTGCCATAATATTATAGCCAGGCCTTTCAGGGGAGATTTCCAAAGGAGTGTCTGCACCTAAAGCTGAGTGCAACTTATTTCGTTGGAGGCAGTTCAGAGAAGGTTCACTAGG